CAAGGGGATGGGACCCAGAGATCCGACGCTCCTAAAAAAATGGAGCGGCGGGATTTTGGCAGTTTACGGCCTCCGGGGGCCCTCACTGGGCTTCGGGAGGGTGACAAAAACGATTCAGGACGAAAAACCGGCCCTGGGGAAGTGGTCCAGACCTCCGGGGCCCACGCATCCAAAAAATTGGAGCGGCCGGATGTCTGGGGAGGGGCGGGGGGTCAGGAGGAAGTGGGAGGAAGTGGGGGGGGGAGAGGAAGGGAGGGGCGGCGAGAAGGGGGCAGGAGGGGGAGGGGGAGGGGGGTCGAGAGGAGGAGTGGGGGAAAGGAGGGGCGGTGGAAGAGAAACGGGAGGGAGGAGGACGGCGGATGAGCGGGGGGGGAGGGGCGCGAGAGGAGAGGGAGGAGAAAGAGGACGACGACGACGATCAGGGCTTGGCATTTCCCATATGGCGCTTGCACTGAGGGGTTATTACTTCATTCCTCAGGGACTGGCTGCAGTTTCTGGATGTTCGGCTCGTTGCGTCCCCGTTGCCGCCCCGCTGTTTTCTCGCTGCCGCTTGCATGACTTTGCATGGTTCTGAATTGTTGTACGCACGACTTTGCATGGCTTTGCGTTGTTGTGCATTGGCGAATGGTTTTGCGTTGCTGTGCACATGTTTGCATTGCCCTGCGTTGCTTTGCATGGCTTTGCCTTGAGCTGCATGGCTTCGCATGGCTTCGGATGCCTGCGCGTGGCTTCGCATTGCACTGTGTTGATTTGTTGATTTGAATGGCACTGTATGTTTGCATTGCTTGTCTATGGCGTTGCGCACCAATACATGTTATGCCAATTCATGTTTTTTCAATTCCGCCGTGGGAAACGAGTCTCTTTTGAATGAATTGCGACTTGGGCTCTTGGGGCGTCTCGTGTTTCCCAAACCTCCGGTGCGGAGTTGTGTCCTCGTAGGGAGGCGCACGCTCAAGCCCCCTTCAGCCTGCTGGCCGCAGCCTCTGACCCGGACCGAGTGGGAAACGGGCCCCTGCTAGCCGCTCCTGGCCGCCTTCGCTTTGCCAGGGCAGCGGGCGCAAGCAAGGCCTCGACGCAGTGCAGAGATGAGGAGGAGGAAACGAGGAGAAGAGATAAAGGGAATGGACGTCTTGAGTCCACAGCACCACATGCTTCGTGCCCTCTCCTTCTCCCTCCTCCGTATGTTTTTTGTCAGCCCTCTCATGTCGAGTTGGTCCCTCGTTTGAAATCCGCAGCGCCGCGCGTCTCCTTCTCCTCCTTTGCTTCCTCATCCCAGCGGAGCGCGCACGACTCCGCCGTTCGCGTCGCTCCTCCTCATCCTCATGGCTTCACAAAATCCCATGCAGTTGGGCCCGCCTTTCAGCCACGCGGGCGTGTCGATGCGCGGCTGCGTTCCCTCATGCCTGTCTCGGTACACCCCTTATATTTCCGTGGCCCCGCAGGGAGCTCCACCTACGGTCTCATAGGGCGCCGACGCATGGCGCCACCTTCCCTATGTGGGGCGTCCGAGAAGGTGCCTCGTCTTCGGCGCACCTCGCCTTCGGCGGAAGGGCGCCGGATGGCGGCGGAGGTGAGACCGTGGCGTGTCCGCCAGCGGCAGCTGGTGGAATCCGAAGATCGGCGGAAGGCGGCGGATCTAAATCGAGTAGCCACTTGTTTGGTGTCGGGCCTTTTTCGAATCAAGCAGAAAAGCCTTCAGCTTCCGGAGAAGGCCTGCTCCCTCTCTGGTATACTTCCCCCCCTCCCCTCCGCAGACGGCCGGTGTGCACCGCAGCGCGTGCGCGTCTCCAGAGGCGCCCTCGATCCTCTGCCAACGAACGGTGTGCGGTGCATCGTTTCTCGGCCCCCCTGAGAGGCGACCAAACCATGCACCGGATCGCACTGGAGCGGAGGAGGAGGAGGAGGAGGAGGAGGAGGAGGAGAGGAGGAGAGGAGGAGGAGGAGGGTGGGAGGAGGGAGGAGGGAGGAGGGAGGAGGGAGGAGGGAGGAGGGGGAGGAGGGAGGAGGAGGAGGGAGGAGGGAGGAGGGAGGGAGGGGAGGAGGGAGGAGGGAGGAGGAGGAGGAGGAGGAGGAGGAGGAGGAGGAGGAGGAAGAGGGGATTCCAAACACGGTGCCGTGCACGGGCGCCGTTCTCGCGCCCCCCGGGAGCGCCGCCGGAGTCCCCCCGGGCAGGCGGCCGCGGAGCCCCCCGCGGCGGCCGCCGGGCCGTCGGCCGCGGAGCCCGAGGCGGCGGCGGCGCCAGCGGCGGCCCCGCAGGCCGACGCGCCGTGCGCGCCGCCGCCTTCGCCTCTGCATCGGCGTGTTGGCCAGAGTCGGCCTCCTCCTCCTCCTCCTCCTCCTCCTCCTCCTGCTTCTTCTTCTCCTCCTCCATTATTTTCATTAAACATATGTTTTCTCTGTCGCACCCCGGGGCCAGTTTTTAGGGCGGGCTGGGCGTTTCGCCTGACATTTCCTCGCCATTTATGATGATGATACAGATGGAGGGCGGGTCGTTTTTTAAATTTGGTTCTCGCCTTAGCGCCGCACACACTCGTTTTAAAATTGCACAAGGGCTTCACATATTGAGGGCGGGTCGTTTTCAAAATGTGGCTCTCGCCGTAGCGCCGCGCACATTAAAAAATACAAGAGCCTCACAGATGGAGGGCGGGTGGTTTTCAAAATGTGGCTCTCGCCTCAGCGCCGCGCACATTGGCGTTACGAATTTGCAAGAATTTCGCGGATTACGGGCGGGTCGTTTTCAAAATGTAGCTCTCGCTTTAGCGCCGCGCGCATTCGCTTAACACAAATTGCAAGGGGTTCACGGATTGAGGGCGGGGTCATTTTCAAAATGTGGTTCTCGCCGTAGCGCCGCGTACACTCGTTTTAAACAGTTGCAAGAGCTTCACGGATTGAGGGCGGCGCCTTTTCAAAATGTGGCTCTCGCCTTAGCGCCGCGCACATTGGTTTAATCAAGTTGCAAGAGTTCCACGGGTTCGCATGATCAGCGTACCAGAAATAGGTTTTCGGAAGGACTCAGGGTTACGCGGGCGCAACAGTTAAACAAGTTATGTTGATTCGCAGTGTTGAAGTCCCCAAAACGGTGTTCTGACACGATTCCAGATCGTCAGGACGACGCAGCAGTCAGGTTGATCCGTGGCTTGGAAATCCCGAGAGCAATGTTTTGGCATGTTTCAAAGTCTTCAAACGGATGTCTTCCAACGGGGCAGTTCCCTCAATGGAAATGAACCGTTGTAGGGGCCTACGACGACGGAGTTAGGATGGAGTGTTAATTCCAATGTCGGTGATGATTCTTGGGTTTACACTGGTCCTCCTCCTCGCCGAAGCCCCCCCCACTTTGAGGCGTCGCCACGCCATGCTATGTCAGTCTACGCGTTGATCTTCAACACCATGTTATGCCATGTCATGCTATGCCCTGCTACGGCATCCGACTGCGAATAGAGAGGAGATGGTGAGGGATGGGAGGGAGGGGTTGGACTTCAGATACGACGCGAGCGCACCTAGCTTCTCCTCCTCCTCCTCCTCCTCCTCCCCCCCCTCCTCCTCCTCCTCCTCCTCCTCCTCCTTCCCGTCGTCGCATCTGCATCGGTGTGTTGGCTAGAGTCGGCGGAGCGCCCAGGGGTGGGGAGAGGCGGAGGGGGGGGCGGGCCGTCTCAGAGGGCTCAGGAGGCCTGAGGGCTCCTGGAGAGCTGGGAAGAGTTCTCTCTCGGGCTTCGCCGGAGCGCCCGCACACACCGAGGCTCGAAGCCGCAAGTCGCAAGGCACGTCCCAGAGCCAGGCGGAACAATTGCGCAATCACAGTTTGAGAGCTCTCTGGTATCATCGTGACGTCCCCCCTCGGCGCGGCGGCGGCCGACACGCCGTCCTCGTCACCGCCGCCGCCGCCTCTTCGCCGGGCTTTGCCAGAGGTGTCCCTCGCCCATCGCGGGCAGCAGTAGTTAGAGGAGGAACAAGCTTCGTGGGGATGCGAACCGGCCCCACCCCAGACATGCGGCGTCTTGATTTTTTCAGGACGGCGTCCCCAGAAGCCCAGACCTTTTCCCCGGGGCCGGTTTTTCATCCTGCGTTGTTTTTTGACGGTCCCGGGGACCAGCGAGGGCCCCCCTGGGCCGAAAATGACCGAAAACATCCCGTCCTGATTTTGTTGTACGACGCGATCATGTTTGGGATATCGCCCATTCGTCGCCGAGAGAGGCCTGATGGCCCATCCCGCACAGGAGCGCTGCGTTTCGCTGTCCAGGGCCCATGGCCGATCCATCGGCAACGTATCGCCGATTCCAGGGCGATGATGTTCGCCCCCACGAGCCAGCCCCCCTGCAAAAGGCAGGTCCGTGTTGTGGCGACGCGGCGCTGACCCCAGCGCGGGCGTTCTGAGGTGGAGCGCCGCCAGCCCAGAATCGACCGGCATCGGTCGGTTCCAGGAGGGGGTGAAACATACAGACGAAAGTCATCGTCGACTCCCAGGAAAATATCGGACAATATGGGAAGTGGGAAGACGAAAACCCAGAAGATACGGGGAATCCTGGGATTTGTGCCTATTTCTTTGTGTTTCGCTGGGCCCCTTTAGGTTTGCCGTTGCCAGAAAGCCGCGGTCGTTTAAGGATGACGGCGCCACGGCACGAGCCTGTCGTAGGGAGTCCCAGCTGGCCTCCAGAGCACCCTTCACGAGGCCCAGGGGGCCCCAGGCGCTCCAGAGCAGGCTGGTGGCACTTCGGGCCTGAACCGTAGGGGTTTCAGGGGGTTGGCTCGCTCGAGTGGCCTCGCTTGAATGTTCCTCCTCCTCCTCCTCCTCCTCCTCCTCCTCCTCCTCCCACGCGTCCCTACTTCCCTCCCTCCCTCCCTCCCTCCCTCCCTCCCTCCCTCCCCCTGTCCCCCCCTCTTCTTGTTTTCCTCCCTTTCCCCTCCCTCCTCCCCCGCCCCTCCCTCCTCCTCCACCTTCCCATCTCTCTTCTCCACCTCCTTTTTCTTGTGCGTAAAACGCACAATGGAGGCCAGGCCTGAGG